CGGGGGGGCTGCAGTGGGCCCCGAGCTGCGGGTGGTGCTGGAGGCAGCAGCCCCAAAGGCAGGTGCTGCTCTTGTAAGGAAATGCAGTGTGGGGTCAGGATGCGGCCCCTTTCGCCAGCCCCCACCATGCACTTGGGTCCAGCCAGCACCGTCTTGCTCCATGAGACTCACCAGAGGGAGAACAATTTGTTTCTGAAACATCTCACCAGTTTTTGGAGACTGGAACCAGATGGCAAAGGGCTCTCTGGAGAAGGCATCCTCGTCCCCAGGCTGGGTGTCAGGGTACTGGTAGGTTTGTTTCACCGACACCAGATGATGCCTGCAGCAGAATAAACAGGATGGGGGATATCACACTTGTGGCTCACTGGGATGCGTCTAACACTGACTCCAGGCTCTGACCCAGACACCAGGCCATGTTCCACGTTGGATGCAGCCAGGCTGGTGGCTGTGCCTGGGATGATCCCCACACCCTGGCACAGCCCATCCCGCCCATGCACCCTGCACCTCTCCAGCTCCCTCAGAGCAAAGCCATCACCACCGTGTCCAGCCTGCCTCCACGGGGCTGCGACACAGGAGGGCAGAGCACGGGGCTGGCTCGTTGGCGAGGGGAGCTGGCTCACCTGTAGATGAAGGCGTACTGCTCCTTGTAGCTCTTCCTTCCCAGCCTCTCACTGACCACGCAGTTGTATTCCTCCTTTGGCCCCTTCAGCTGACTGGAAGGGAAGTGGTGGTCCTGAGTTTATTTCTGCATTCGCAAGGGGCTGAGGCGGAGATCACTTTGCCCGTGCCCAAAGGTATGGGATGTCACCTTCCTGACCTCAGAGGCAGGTGGTAGAGGCAATAAACCCTTCTTGGGACCTGTGGTCTGGACCTGTGCTCCATCTCTGCCCCTTTCACTCCACCCCCTCCCTGCTTATTGCAGCCTCTGTCTCTCTCTCAGCTGGGTCTCACGTCCAGCCAGGCATCCGCTGCTCTTCCCTCTGGACTGCCAGTCCAGGCAGGCAATCCCAGACCTAAAGCAATTCCTAACCCTGCAGGAAAGGAGCTTCCCTGCCACAGCCCGGTGCTAGCCAGGCAAGGCCCTGTCCCTCTCTTCTGTTGTCCTTTGAGAATTAATCTTTAACAAATTGAAAATAACTTAGTTATTTGGATTTAAAAATACATGTCCTACAGTGGTCTGGAGCTGGCTTCACTCCTGGCCTTCAGCAAGGCCGCCAGAGCTTGGTCTTTCTTTGACATATGAGACAGAGCCCAGACCCTGAGCTTTCACCCCAGTAAGGTGGCGCTGAGCAGCGCACAGGCTCTTGCCAAGCATCTTTCCCAATATTTGCCTACTTGCCTATGGCCACCCTACCTGGTGAGCTTCTCCACCAGCAGAGGACAAACCCGGTTCTTGTTCTCCTTTATTTCCATCAGCAACATGATGTCACAGCGAGAAATTATCTGCAAGGGGAAGGAGCAGAAGCATGTTTGCACAGGGTGGGTTTTGAAGGGTTAGAAAAGTGGTTACTGGTGCGGGGGAAGTCCTTTGTGGAGGAAGCAGTGCCCAGCCTGGGATCGTGAGAGGGGAGCAGCGGCCAGAGCAAAGCCCTTCTGCTTTCAGAGCTGCCTCATGCCCGCGCAGGAGCTAGGAGAGGGAACTCGAGAGCAGAGAAGTTTCGTGTTTGTTGAAAAACTTTTTCCCCTGCCCCTGAGGAGGAAGTGTGGAGAGGAAGGGGCAGCAAGAGCTGCTGCTGCTAGCCTGCCATCCCCCCACCGCTGCTGGGGTGCTGCCCCTGGACCCCCACCCCTACAGTCAGTCGCGCTTTCTCTCCTCCTTGCCCCTCACCACGTAGGTCTCCTTTGGACTGGCACTGCACCCAAGCATCCCAACTCACTGGGTGCCCAGGTGGATGTGGCAGGAGGATTTGGGGGGCATCAAGGAGACCCTGTTCGTGTCTGCATCAATTCAGTGCAATGGTTTCCATCCTTCTTCTGGTGGATATGCCCCTAAGGTCCTATTGCTATGCTATGCCTTCTGAAAGCTGCATGTGCTGTCAGCGTTTGCCTGTCCCAGTCGTCTGCTGCAGACCCCTCTGAAATAGCCCATAGAGACCAAATCGATCCCCTGTCTGAAAACAGGGCCCCGGCACCCATAGGTGCAGCACCAGAGAGGAGCCGCAGGGTGCTGGGGCGCAGGGGGGAGGCTGCCCCAGCCCAGCTCAGCTCCCACAGTCAGTGCTGGAATTCCCTGTGGGAAAGCCCGGCTCAGCCCACAGCCTGTCATGCTCAGGGGCTTTCCTTCTGCCCTGGTTTTGTCGCTCTTCAAATTTTGCAAGTGATATTTATGGGAAAAAGCCTCTTTTTGCTGCCTGAAACTTGTAATAAATTAACATATTGCCTGTAATTTAGTATATATTGCCCATAATGTTGACAGTATAGGAAGAACGATCCAGAAACGCAAACCCCAGCAAACCCCTCTCCCCCAGCTGTTTGCAATGAAGGATTAAAGCCCAACTAAACAGTGGAGTTCCTTGCCGCTGCCATCCTGCCAACACCAAGCACCACATCCTCCCTCACCGAGGCATCTTGGAGGGGACTTGCAAAAGCTGTAAGTCCAAAACACGGTTCTTTTAGAAAGCTGGGTTATATTCAGCTGCTGCAGAGGAAGCCTGATGGTGAGGACTTATTTACATAGAATAGCAATCAGGATTTTCAATTTGGTACCACACTAATATGATATTCTCTGCTGTCCTGAGAATACATCCAATTAGCCAAGAATATTTCAGAATAATGAGCACATAAGCAAAGTAAATAATGTATCACAAAACAAAGCTCTGTGCATTCAAAGTGAAAATTATTTTTACTGTGCACAGAGGTTTTCCTCCTTTCCTAACTCCATTTCCAAAGGAAACAACAAATGTTGTTTCTGTTATACTCCCATGCAGGTTAAAATAACAGCAAACACCCTGCTCAACCACAGGCTGATTTTTACTTAAGAGTATAACATTATTGAAATTATTAACTATTTTTTTTTTACTTGAAATTCAGCTGTGAAAAATAAATAAAGTGCAAGATTATGTAACTAAGAAATCCTCGGGCAGCCCAATGTCTGTCTCACCCAGGCAAACGAACGTACCTTTACCACGGCATCGACTACTTCAGGTCTGGCTATTTTTGTTTCTCCAAAAGACCTCACATTGAAGGAGCAGATTTTTAGGCTCAGAGACGGGTTGAAATTGAGGAGCGAAAGCAAGATGAAGAGCAACATCTTCAGGGACTTGGACAAAATGAGTTGCTGCGAGTGTGGCTATAAATACATATATGGGTGCGTGTTTGTGCATCCGTCCCTCTGCGGCCACTTGGGAGGTCAAACTGAGCAGTCAGCTGTGTCGATCACGAACATGAATCGCCGTTTCCTCCTTTCCTTCCCTTCTATCTCCCAGCATGAAGCAGCATGGAAACTTTGAACTTCTGCCTTGGGGGAATACTGGCTTTTTGGAGCCAGCCCCTCCATCTTGGAGGAACAACTGCTCAGGCAGACCCCAGCATCCCACCCCAGAGGGGCACCAGCTGCAGGATGCCTGTCGTGCCTGGGCACCAGCCAGGACCACCCAGGGCAGTGCTGGGCCAGGACCGGGCTCCCTGGGCCACCCCAGGAGGCCAAGAGCCCAGCCACCAGGAGGTGGATGAGACAGATGGTGAGAAGGTCTGGGAAGCAGCAGTGGGGAGAGAGGGGTTTCTGGAGGGCACTGGTGGTGGGCACAAGTAAACCCCAGTGAATGGTGGTGGGACACCCTAGACACGGAGGTTTTGACCACATCCCAGTTTGGTTCTGCTTTTCCCTTGGTCAGAAAGTCATGCCGTGAGAAAGTGCTAAACTGTTCAGCACTCCAGGCCACCCGCTTCTACCCGCTCCCCCCTTTGCCCAGGGCTGAGATGTGCCCTGCTGCCGGACAGTTACTGTGGGACAGCCACATTCATTTGCCCCTGGTCAGCAGGGCCTGCCGGATCAGCCACCGTGGCACAGCTTCGGGGAAGGTACGTGATGCCCCCGGCACTGCCCCCCAGACTGCCGGCCAAGTGACCCCAACACAACAGTCTCGGGCTGGTGAACCAAGGTGCGTGCAGATGGGTCTGGCTTGTGCCTCATGGTAGAAGGGGACACATGAGTTTGGCCAAGACGACACTCGAGTGAGGATGCTGCAGCTGGGGCAGCTTTTGCAGGGAAACCATCCCCCTGCCCTCCCTTCCTCCTCTGCCATGTGCCAGCCCTCTCCTGGAGATGCATCTGTCAGCCCCTGATCAGGTATAGTGGTGGGAGTTGTAACAAGAAGTCAGGCTAAATGGTGTCTTCAGGGTCTTGGATTTTTTTCCCTGTGCTTACAGGATGCTTTCACATCCTCTCACCTTTTCCTGAGAACAGCCACAAAGGCTGCTTGCACCCTGCTGCTCTGCCTGCGTGGCCGCCTGTGCAGATCCAGCCCCAGAAGCACCAGTGCATGGCTCCCGACCCTGTCTAAACCAATTAAACAGGGGCAGATGGAGCTGGCACAAAACACAGCGTATGGGGGGCTCCCAAAAATGCAGCACAGCAGAGAGCAGCAAGATCCCAGTCTTGCTGGGGAGGCAGCTGCGGCTCTCCAGAGTGTGTGCTGCGAGCGTGGGAACGGGCACCACAAATCCATTTTGGCTAGACAGGGATTTGGAGCCATTGCTGCTAGCGAGGGGCTTGCTGCCATGCTGCCGTGGTGCTCGCTAATGACCACAGATACCTGGGGAGCGGGCGTGCAGCCCGCCAAAATAACCAGGGTTGTACGGTGCTTTCTCTCTGCTGGGTCTCTAATGAGCCAGCATCAGGCAGGACAGGCTCTGCAGGAACCTCATAAAGAGGGAGGGAAAGCGACAGCTTTAGGGTTTGTAAATCTCCCGCCTGACCTTCCCAAAAGCTCAGCGTGAGCCAAGGGCTTGCAATGGCAGCTGCGGCCTTGGGGGTCAGAGTCATCAAAACCCCAAACCAGGCTTGCTTTGGCTACCCTGGCATCAAAAAGCAAATGTTTGTTGTGGTGCCTGTGAGGGCTCTAACCCTGAACTGTGGGGACCCACCTTCTTCAATGCCATGTTTGTCCCCAGGGCTGCTTGCTTATCAGTCTCCCCTTTCGCCTCCGCCCCAGGTTATCAGCAGGACAGGCAGAGCCACCCTTTGCAGGGCCAGGCAGCAGCGAGGTGACCCGCGGGGGGCACACGGGGAGCTCACACTCCCTTCCGCACCGCTTTATCTCTCTGTTTACTGCACTTTCTGTGCATGTACTCTTTGCTCCTTATCAGGCCATAAAATCTGCTCGATGCAGGCTCATGAACCCTGCCAGTTCAGGGCTGTCCTGGTCTTGCACAAGAGGGGTGAAGCTGGTGGTGAAACCAACCTGGGTTGGTTTTTTGCCCCTCCTCAGGATGATGCTGGGTGACAGACATCACCCCCAGCAGAGCAGCACCTGTGGGACATTCCCTAATAAAGCCCCTCCTCAGCCTCTCCCTGTTCTCAGGGGAGAAGAGGCAGGTGATGAGGCTGCAGGCCATGCCAAAACAGTTTGGGCAAGATCTTAGAGCACTGAGTAGGTGCTTCCCAGGCTTGGCCCTGCCAGGCATTGCTGACAGTCTGTGCTGGGCACATGGGGGCTGTGGCTGGTGCATTGCTAGCTCAAGAGCAACGATTCAGCCCTCCATCGTCTTTTCACTCCCAAGAAGGTGGGATGGAGTGGGATGTGTCCCCACGTCTTATGCCTGCTTAGGGTCCCCATGGGACAGCGGGGGCACCAGGGTCCAGCAGCCACGTGGGTGGTTCCTTCTCTCCCCTCAGGCGCAGCCGCTTGCTTCCAGCCCTGGCTGCCTCATGGGACACCCACAGCTTTGTTTTTGCTGGCAGAGAGGGACTGAGAGGATCTCTGATGTTTCCTGCGCCTCTCTGGGAGGGTTTCAGGGAATGACTGCAGGCGAGCCCACATCCCCTTCTGCTCTGGCAGAGGAAGCCTATTCTGGGCTTGAAGGGCAGCCTGACTCAAGGGGTGCTCCGTGGGGCAGAAGTTTGCCCTGGGGCTTTGCTTGGGGCCTGAAAATAATGCTGAAGTTTTATTTATCCTCCCATGGGTGAAATGTGGTGTCTGTGTGCTGGCTGGGGGGGGTCAGCACTGCTGGGGACACCAGCACTGCTGTGCACCTTCTGCAAAGGGCACCGAGGGTGGCCCAGCCTGCCTGAGCCCTGCCCCATCAGGGTGCCCCTCCT